CAAGGTCCCCATCCCCTTCCAGGGGTGAAAGGCAGGTCTCGCAGGCCTTCCAGCTGATCTCTCAGCAATGTGCTTGGTATTTCTTCTGCAATGATACAGCAGTATGGCTCCACTGCCTGTCCCAAAGTCGCAGCCGGATGGAGAGGAGAGACGCTTCCTATCCCGGGGCAGGGTTCAGCCTTTAGAAACCATCCGTGCGGCACCTCACCAGCATGGGGGGGAGGAGTAGATGGGCCAGTGGGTTTCTAAGCTGAGTTTTGACCGGTCTGTGCTCCATCCTTAAAAGATGCCAAGGAGGGGAGACATTAATGAATGCAGCTTCCAAGGGGGAGAGACCAGAGCCTGCCTTCCCATCCCACCACCCCCACCCGGCACTGCTCAGCCTGGCGTTGCGCGGCTCCGACGGGCGCTTGGGAGGCCGTGGGAACGCGCCACGGCGTGGATAACCCGCAGCCAGCCTGGCCCGCAGAAGACCGATGCGGCTGATCCCAGCTAAATGGTGGCTCATGCTACAGTAACTTCCCTTATTGTTTGCTTTACTCAGCCAGCCCAAAGGGCTTTTCAGAGCCTCCATTAGTGCACTTATTTGCGTGTTTGCGGCTGCTTTCGCCGGCAGCCCCTTTTCTTTCCTTTTTCCTTTCTTGGATGCTCTTGGCATCTTTGCTCTAATTACACTTCTCTCTCTCGTGTGCCCTGAATAGTTGGGTTAACAAACAATAGCGGTCGCCCAACCCATCTCCCCAACACTTGTTGCATAGGGGGGCGCCGGGTTGGGCTTTCCAGAGGGGCTGAGCTGCATGTGTGCATATTCCCCTCACGTATGGAAGTGGCAGGAAGAGGGAACCTCCCCGTGTTGTGTTCCCCAGTGCTGCGGGACTCAAAGGACTCAGGGTAGTTTTGCCCCAGGGGTATCAACGAGGAGCAGGGTTTTGCTAACTGGAGCATGGCCTGCATTTGTCAGCTTCCTCCGCTATCTTGCAGAGCCAGGCCAGGCAGGAGAGAGCGACCTGGCCCCTTGGTCCTCAGCTTGAGCAAGGCGTCCTGAAGCCAGACTTGCCTTCTCAGCTGGGAGGGACTGGCCAGGTGCAAGGTACGGATGCTGCAGCCTACCCTGCCGGGTGTGACCTACCTCCAGTCCCGCTGGGGTAGAGTCAGTACTATCTGCACTGGGCGCCATGGATGGAGACGTGCATGTGCTGCATTGCTCGGCCACCTGGAGAGACCGGCCAGTGCTTCTCGCAAGAGCCTGAGTCCAAGAGGAGAGACACAGATGGGTAGAAGGGGAGCAGAGCATCCCCCAAAATGGGCTCAGTCCCCCATCCTCCGTCCTGCTGAGTAGCTCAGTGATTGCCTCAGTTTCCCTCTACCTCGAGGGGCTTGGGGGAGAGTTGCATAAAGAAAGCAAGCTGCTAAGCTCCTTCCAAACCTCTGCAAGCTTTCCAGCACCCCTGCCTCCAAAACCCTTCCCTGGCTTTCAGTGCCCTTTCAGCCAGAGCACTTGGTGGCAGGGATTTGAAGGGAGCTTTTGTTCTGCAGAGAGCAGGGTTGAGTCCTCAGTGAAAAGTAAAAACCTGTCAGCTCTTTACAGGCGCTGGGGGAAGGGCAGGGCAAAGGCAGACGAGTGCCAAGTAGGAGGTTGTTCTCCGGAAGGAGCAGTGACGTTGGGAAGACGGGGCAGGAGTCGCTCAGAGCTCAGCTCTCACTTAACTTGAAGCATCAGGGCAGATGCAAAAAATGAATGAGTTTGGAAAAGGCTGAGACATATCAGGGCCCGTGTTGCTGAAGAACTGGGGGACTGCTCGGGGTTGGCTTCCACTGGAAAGGGAAACGTAAAACAGATATAGAGATATAGATATGCTTTACATTTCCCTTTCCAGTGGAGTCTAACCCTGAGCAGTCCCTCACACTCCTTCAGCAGCACAGAAACCCAATTTAGATCTCTATATCTATCTATCTATCTATAGATAGGTTTATCTATCTATAGGTGGATAAATTGATAGATAAACCTATCTATATATAAAAATACGCACACAAAACTATATCTAGTGTGTGTGTAATATATACGTATACATGCGCGCACACAGTTATATATAACTACACACATATGGTGTATGTGTAATATATAGATGTATATGCACACATACAAACAACTCTATATAACTATATAAATATAGTGTGCATGCAGTATATATGTGCACATATACCCACAAAACTATATAAAACTCTACGTATGTAATAAAACATGCATACATAACATGATATATAACTATAGTGTGTATGTGTAATATATATATATGAAATAAAATTTTAGTTTGATGTGTAAGACATTCAGCTTTTTAGCCGAGCAAGAAGAATATTTCATTGGTTTCCTTAACTTCAGGTCATGGAAGCAGCTTTTTGGTGTTCTTTTTTTTCCTGCTCTGTCTCTCCTTTTCTGTGCCCAACAAATGGAAAACTTGAGGGTTTAATTTTCCTGGGATCCATTGAGTGTCTCTGAACTAATCACTTCCTTGTCCCCACAGGGGTAGGGCATTAGTAGTGCCGTCCTCGCCTGCGCTGTTACCCATAGTGAGTTTGGGGTGTTCTTGGTGTTTTGGGTATTGTGCCTCGCAGCTGAGTGTTAAAGGAGCAATTTTTGGGTTAGTGCTTGCCTATGAATGGAGGTGACTGAACTCCACAGTCCGGGAAGATGCTCCCAGTTTTGTATTCCCACCTGCTGGCACAGAGACGGTGGCCTGGGCAGGGTCGAGCATTTCGTCCCAGGTATGTCCCGCAGAGACAGCTTCCCTCCCCTTGCCCTGGGCATTTAATTTCAGGTGAACCCTGGCCTGGGGATGGAGAAGCTGCTGCCAGCTGATAAGCCCCAGGTCTCTCTCCCCCAAGCATCAACCTAATCCAGATCTTTTGTGGAGGGCTTGGAATTACCCAAGCACCAACCTAGCCCTGCCCGACCCCCAGCTGTACAGCGGGCAGGATGGAAAAAAGAGCGGATGGATGGATGGTCAAGGGGGCTGGGCTGGGGGCGTGCTCCCTGCTTGGGGGAGCTGTTTTCTTGCAGGACTGGAGACCTATGGGTCTCAACAGGACGACCCGATAGAGCAAACGCTCATGCACACAGTCAGTAGGTGCAAAATGTAGTCCTTTGCAGAATTTGCATTCCCACTGGTAGGGATGCAATAGCCTCTTGGAGGACCACAAGCCAAACTCAGCCTGGCACGAGCAGGAGAGGCTGTGCCATAGTAGGTGGTGGCAGCAGCCTGGACAAGAGCTGATTTGGGGGTTAAGAGTCAAGCAGATTCATTGCTGCAAGGAGGGGAAGGACTTGGCATGTGTAGCATGCTCAGCACAACAGCTTATGCATCTTGTGGTTTGGTTAGTCTATAAGGTGCATCTTTACCCTGCCTTCTGCTTCGCTTTCCCCTACCTCTGCTTAAATATATCCTCCTTCCTCGCCCGTGCCGTCAGCTCTTTGCTGCCAACTCGAAGGATGCTGCATCCCTCTCCAGCCTGGAAGGGGAAACATGAACAGGGGTTTTCATCCTTCTTGAGGGATGTGAGCAGGTCACAGCACCTGTTGGTTGAAGTTTGGATGACAGAAACGTCAGGAGGAGATCAGAGCTCCTTGCTTAAATCTTGGCTCCCAGAGCAAAGAAAACAGCTCACGAGCAACAAATAGAAAGGCCTGATGTCTTGAGTCCCCCATGCCCAGCCCAGCCCTGTCCCCTGGCGCATGCCAGCGGGGCTGGACCGAGATCTGGACAGATCAGTTATTCATTCGGACTTGCCGCTTTGCATCGGCCAAAAAACCACTTGCAATTCAGGTAAAATCTGCTGGAGAGCTTCAGCAGGCCAGAAACAGGGGAGACGGTAGCAGCTTGTCCCTTCCCCACGCCTCCGTCTGATTCTTTCATGTATTTGGGGGCAAAAAACAGCTTCTCGGAGAGTTTGCCTAACTCCTGTTAATGCACCTCTGCTCCCTCCAAGAGCTAACGGCGCCTGGGAATAGCAAATGAAGTCTTTAGTCCCACTAATTAGAGCATCTAATAAATGTCAGCTTTCATAAGCAGCCACTTATAGCTGGCATCCAGGGAAAACCTGGAGATGGAGGGGAAGCTTTGTTTTAGTGACCGGGAGGATTTGTGAGAGCAGAATGCCAAATGTGAGGCGCGGGGATGGGCTGGGATTCCTGCGTCTACGTCCGGAGGGGACCGCGGCGGATAAAGTGCTGGTGTGCAAGTCGGTCGACCTGGCATCGGTTCCTGGTTATAGGCATCAGCTGCCTTTGACCGGGGCGAGGGGAGGGGATCTCAATTAGCTACGCTAGTCTGAAGTCAACTAGAAGGCAGGAGGGATTTGCTCCTTATAGACTAACCCCAGCAGATCTCAGAGGTCACCAGAGGACACTGGGATCCAGGTGGAAGTTGTTGCCAGCTGACGCCCTAGCTCTCCTTGCAGGCAGGTGCTCCCTGGGGCTGGGGGAACAACTGCAGTCTCTTTTCCCCCTTGCAAGCCATCAGCAAATGCTTTGTTCAGGTCTCGGTGGTCAGGCATTGTTCTTGGATGCGTTTCGGTGATGGGTAAGTTGTTATCCGCCCACTAGAAAACCTGCAAACACTCTTTTACCTTTCTTCTGTCACCGGTTATCTGCTGGCAGCACTGGACCACGTGGGTGAAACTCTGAGTTTGTAAAGCGATGGCTCGGGGTTTATATTCTTTCCCACGCCATGCACACAGACTTGACAGGGGACAGTAGCACCTAGGCACATATGCAATCCTTGACTGTTGCTTCGAGCCCAAATGGGTAACTCAAGACCCCTCTTCCCAGCCCTAAACTTCAGGGCTTAGGAGCCTCATGCTGTGCAGACTATTTGCAAACAGAACAGTTGGGTTCGTAGCAACTGCTGGGCAGAGGTTGAATAAAGAAAATAAAGGAAACAAATCTTGGCCTGGGAGAAATAGATTTGCAAGTAACTGGGACGTCTCTGTGTTTGCATCGACAGGATGAAGTTGCGCTGCGCCCTGCTGCTTACTCTGTGGCTGGAGATGGCCACGCTCGGCACTGGCTCAGGTAAGACCGCTGCGGTATCTTGGGGAAGTGGATGCAGTGGATTTTGCATTTGCACGCTCTCTTCCATGTAGGATGTGCAGTTTCATCTCTTGGTCTTTAGACTGGTGTGTTTGGTGCTGAAAAAATCGTCATTTGGGAGTGCTGGAGTGATGTTGTATTAGGTCTCTAAAGTCCTGGCTGCAGAAGCCATCCATGTAAACCCGGTGTGGAAGAGTGCTAGCTGTTTGCACTGGCTGTGCAGGCTCTCAGACACCAGTGACAAGCGTGCATGCAAAGGCCTGTCTAAGCACCATCCATTTGAGTGCCCTGCAGAGACCAGTGTCACGCCACTCATAAAATCATAGAAAATGAAAGTTAAAAGGGAGCTCAGGAGGTCACATCTAATCCAATCCTCTGCTCCAAGCAGGACCAGCCCCAACTACATCATCCCAGCCCAGGCTTTATCTAGCTGGGTCTTCAAAACCTCCAAAGATGGAGACTGCACCACCTCTCTGGGGAGCCTGTTCCAGTGCTTCTCCACTCTCCTAGGGAGAAACTTTCTCCTAATATCCAACCTCACCTTCCCTTGCTGCAATGTGAGCCCACTGCTCCTTGTCCTGTCGTCTGCCCCCACTGAGACCAGCCCAGCTCCATCCTCTTTGCAGCCCCCCTGCAGGGAGGTGAAGGCTGCTATCAAATCCCCCTCAGTCTTCTCTTCTCCAGACTAAATCAGCCCATTTCCCACAGCCTCTCCTCACCAGTCCTGGCCCCCAGCCCACAACCATTTTCATTCTAGCCAGTCTCATCTGCTGGTGAAATGAAGGCAGAACAAGTGACTTGCCCAGGGTGACTCAGTGAACCGGTGTCAGGGCAAGGACCAGCACATGCTGATCTTCCCCTTCCTGTCAGATAGGAAGAGCGAACCCTTGGCCCTCACCTTCTGACTCATCTCGGTGACAGACGCTGAGGCCAGGGCTCCTTGAATAGAGCGAGCTCTCATACCATCTCCACTGAGTCATTTTCCCTGCAGGAAATGTGTTGTAATCCTCGCAGCCTCTTCTGGCACACGCTCAGCTCGGAGCCGTTCGTGGAGAGTGGGATTGTGTCCAGCTCGGCACAAGGCTTCCGACATGGGGGCAGAGGATGGTGCGGTTTGCAGAAGGGAGGGAAGAAAGCCACACAGGCATCGGCTCTCAGGCCCCGTTAACCCCTTTGCATTGTGAGGAAGCCTGTCCCTTGCGCTAAACCACGAGCATGTGCACGGCAGAGGCAGCTCGTGGTGCAAGACTCATCCCTCTGCAGCTTCAAAGCCCCGCGCAGGGCTGGGGCTCCTCTTTCCCCGATACCCAGGCTGGGGTCCAGGACTCTTAACTGGCCTGCAAGACTCGAGTCAGCTTTGCTGGTGATGCATGCCCTGGATAGACCTCCTCTCTTGAGCCCCGCCTTGCAGAGACGGGGGGTCAGCCCCAGCTTCTCCCTGGGAATTCCCGACATTGCACCCATTTCCGGCTGCCGGCTGTGTCATGCACGGGGCGCTGCACTGTTTCCCCGGCCCCAGGCAGTGTTGTAACACCCACCGCAGGATGTCTGAATATTGGGAAACACCTGCAGTTCCCCAGGGGGTTGGAAAACAGCCCCAGAAGCAGCATGTAGGGTTGAGACGAGCCTCTGATCTGTGGGATAAGCTGTGCGGGGGCAGGGATTGCATGCTCAGCTGCTCCTGGAGTCCTTGAGCTGTGTGCCCTGCGTGGT